ACACAAACACTTCCCCCCATACACACACACACACTGCCCCTAGTACTGTCCCCATACACACACTGCCCCCCATACACACACTGCCCCAAAAACACATACAGTGCCCCCATACATACACTGCCCCTAACACACACACTACAACCCTGACATACACTGCCGCACTCACACACTTCACCCTTAACACACACCACTGCTCCTATACCCTATATCCCAGCAGACCCCAGATAAGTTGTCAAACTGTTCTTAAACGGTATGACTACTTACTCTGGGGTGGAATCCTGGCACTACTGACACCATAACTACTACACTGAGCTGTAGTGGTTATTGTGCCTGGATTATTTAATTAAATAATCTGCATGTGCCCCTCCCGAGATCAGGCTCTGGATCCGCCATTGCTTAGGACATAACCCTGAGATACTCAATTTATAAAGAAAGATAGGGATACTATAGTATACGGATCTTTATCATATTATTCTCATTAGATCTAAGGGCATTGTATTAACAGATGCCTTTCTTTCTTTATAACCCTATCACTACCCTAACAATCACCCTATCGCTAACTCTTAGTGAGTGTGATACAAATGCCCTTCCTAATTCATGCAGTAACAATATTGCAATGAGTATAGAAAGCAATATCACTGCAACATTTTAATACACTGCAACATATTAATGTAAGATTGCATCCATGGCATAATCAGTTACATTTTGTAGTCATCATTTCACTAATCAGAATTATTCCAGCGAGATTGTAAACAGATGCCAGTATCACTAGTACACAGGAATACACAGAGCATACCTCCCAACAAAGAGGACACTTTCATTTTAGGTGTGACTGTGGCCACAGGTAAGGCTGTCCCAAGTAATTTTAGTGGACTAATTACAATTTAGTAATCTGAAATAAATTTAGAACAAAAAAAATGTATCTAAATTCTAACACACATTTACTGTAGTTTATTGGCACATCATTGTGAGTATTATTATTGTGGAGCTCTGTTATACACCCAGACACACCAACAGTATGAGGCTCCTAGAAAAGACGGTCATTATAAACAAATGAGGGAAACAGATATTTAGGTCCAAAATAGGTACTGCCCCACCTAAATAGGGATACTTGGGAGATATGACCTAGCAATATACAGATTACTAGTAAGCACACTCACGCACATCTCAGGAGTGCACACATGCTGCACCTCACCAGAACACAGACACTCACCTCTATAATACAGAAATATTTTTTAATTCCATGATAGGTAACAAAATATAGCATATAGTTCTATATATTTATCAACTTTCTCAAACACTAAAGGGTATTAAAGAACATTTTAACTAAGAGTAAGGAATGTATTTGTTCTCTCTGTATAAATCTGGCCCTATATGAGAAGTATGTGAATTTGCTGCAGAGCTGACGCTTTACGACACTGCCTTTACTCACTGCTCTGATACAGAGACAGTTTCTGTGTGAATCTGCTGAGATCTCTCCAGAATCTCATTATCTGCTGATAGATTGGTTACAGTGTTTGTAGGGTCCTGAGAGGCTGTGGCAGTCACTCAGTAAAAACCCCAATTATCTGTGAATTCTCCCCAGTGAGAGTGTATGATGCTGAGGGCATGAGCTGCAGGAAAAATACATTATCAGCCCATTTCCACCCATATAGGGGGTCCTGCAGCCCCATGGATACAGCTAGAGGATGTGGTATTGTCTGCGATAATGATTCACTTCCGTCGGTGATGCCAAGTCTCCCAAAGGCTGTGCAATCTGTTTATAAATCACTACTGTTTATAGGCACTTTTTAAATTAACCCTATAGCTGGCTGTGCATTTTCTGTGGTACAAGAAATTTACATGGAATTTTATGACAAACATTTAATAGGTCTTTGCGAAAGTGGGCACATAGTCAAATCCCAATAACTGTTGCCATGGCTAGCTCCAGGCCGCATCCAGTCCAGTTATTTCCATCTAACTCAAGGAAACCATATTGGCACTGCAGCCATTGTTATTTGGACAGTCAAGATAACCACACACTGTAATGCCGAACTTCAAGTTCAAATGAGCTTCCAAATTCCAAGTTATTGAGAAACTGCAATTATTACCTTGCAGGGTTAACTCCACCTCTAGTGGCTGTCTACCAGTACTTTTGGTCACCTAACTGACGTTGGACGTCTGCACGCTCTGCATGAAGATATTCAGTGTTAGCTAAAATGCGATTGCGCATGTGCTTTATATCCCCACCGGTGGCTAACGTTTATGGAGGAGCAGAGGCCCAGCCTGACCCTGGGATATCAGCGCTGGAATTAGGTAAATGAAATTTTTTAACCATTTCCACTCTAAGGGAAGGGGGGGGGGGGTGGCACTATAGTGCTAGGAATACAACTTTGCATTCCTAGCACTATAGTTTCCGTTTAATTTTCATACAAGTGCCATTTTCAAATGGCCGATTACACAACTCTTACCCATATAGCTGAAAACCCATGGAGTAAAATATAGATATAATAATGGCTTATTCTCTAAATTAGAATTCTGAAGAACCGAAAAGAAAATGGAAAAATAGCTGATCTGGAGACTTTTTCTAATTTGACTGCTTTGTCCTAAAACATGCATTTTTTCTTGTCTATTCTCCACAATGTCTGGTATTATGAATCATACTTATTGATATCTACTTAGAAGGACACTCCTAGCACCATAACCAAAACTAGATCATTGTCATGCAAAGAGTCTGTGTGTGCCATTCCTCTGTTTATGTTGAATTGGTTTTGAATGATTTGACAAAAAAAAAAAAATCTCTCTCCTGCTGCCTTCATCCCCTTACCTGCTGCTTGTCAAACGCAGAAATGGACTTCAGCATTTGTCTGCCCAACTTTTTTCCCACTTGATTTCACACAAATATAAATTTACAATAAAACAAGCCTGCATGTAGTCACGCAGATAACTGAGCAATGGTTCTTATCATGGCATGTTGCAAACAAATGTAATGAATACAGAGAAAACTTGGACTGTTGGACTACACCAGCCTGCGGCCTATAGCCAACTTAAATAAAACATAATGAGAAACTAAAAAAACTGTCAAGAGAACCAAGAAGCTGCTTCTGTACTTTACTACGAGGGATGCACCTGGAGCAGAAGTCGGCTGAGGTACCATGTACTTTAGAGGGTTCAGTCCAACTTTTGACAGCAACGATAGTCTAATGCTCTCAGCCTGTGATTGCCACCCAAAGTTCACTTCTTCATTACACGAGTGCCAGTTGAGGGGCCGGGGTTTAATTATTGGTAGTTTGACAAAATCTGAGGGACCAGGCCAGCATTCATAAATCTCAATATTATTCCAAATAGTAAGAGCAGGTAGTGATTTGAATACAAAAGCAGATGGAATAATAAGCACGTATCAGGTGGGAATTCTGCCTAAAGTGGCCTGTTTGGGACAAACGAGCCACAATTAGCCATTTAACCTACATGTCTGCATCTGGATCTTAGATGTTTCCCCAGGTCCCAGCTTTCCTGTGGCTTCCATTGTACCACGTCCTGTTCCTTCGGACTAACATCCTCTCCCTGCAGTACTCCACTTCCTGTCCCTGTCCTTTCGTTTAGATATTTCCTTGTTTTAAAATAAGTGCAGTACCCCTGGGACAGGTTTTTGTATTTTTAAGATCAGGTGATGGCTGGCCTAGTGTGTTGACTTTAATTTAGCCAATATTTATCTTATTTTAGATTGATGGATGCCACATAACACACATACTAATTATTCACTAAATAGAAAATTCTTGTGAACTAAACCCAGAATTGCAAATATTCAGGTAAAAACAGCCAAGTTGTGACAAGGTTGACCAGTAATTCAGGTTTTTAGCTCAGCATACATCACTGATTAGTGAATAAAACCCATTAGTGATAACACCTTTTTATGTTGGTGCTATATATAAAAAAAAAATATAGGAAAAAGATAGCAAGGAATAATAAATCAAGGAACTGCAGGCAGACTGGGTTTTAGTTGTGCCCATTAATACCCTGTATAAAAAGCTAGGCAAATGTAAAGCAAGTATCGCAGATTATGCGTGTTTTATATAAATAACATAACGTATTGCACCGCATAATAGTCACAGGTTTTATGCCTAATTCCTTTCCTTAAAAACAATTATAGTTGCTAATAACATAGCTGCTAAGAACATGCATATAACATGATCAGAGTTTATTGCAAGAACTCTGATCCCCGTCTCCCAATTGTGATCCTGATCCCTGTCCTCCTGTCGTTTTAACAAAGGACATACACATTCCTAATTCATTACATAGATCAGTGGTAGTCAACCTTTTTCTACCTACTGCCCACTAATGCATCTTTCTTGATGGAAAAATTTCCTTACCGCCCACCAGTTTTCGCGCAAGTGTGGAATGTTTTTTAGATAGGAGGGTGTTTTAAAAAAAATAAAGTACGTACATTTATCTTTTTATTTCTACTTAATGCATGTTTATAATGTTTTTAACTTTATAAAGTTTAATGAGAAAACAATAAAGTAAATTGAAATTACCTTTACTAGTGATTAATATAATCCTTGAGGCTGATGCTGCAAGACTAAATATTTGATATCTGGTTTGATTTTCGTAAGGAACAAATGAAAGTCTCCTCTTTCGGTGATATTCAGACGACTTCTCTGTTTGCGCATAATATGATTTCTCATCTGTGCGTCAGCTCATCTCCTCTCCCTCCTCAATTCCCCTCCCCACCTTTTTCCCCCCTTTTTTCTATTTTTTAACTTTCCTTATAGCAATGCTAGTAGGAAGGCTGATCTAGGTAGCCCACTTACTATAGCCCACTATAATAGACAGGCACACATACATACATAAAGACACACACACAAGACACACATACACACACACACACACACACACACAAGACACACATACAAAGACACATACATATAAACAGACAGGCATACATACAGACACACAGACAGGCACACACATACACAAGACACACACATACAGACACACACACAAAGATAAATACAGACACACAGACAGGCACACATACATACAGACACACAGTCAGGCACACATACAGTCACACACACACAAGACACATACATACAAACATACAGACACACACACACGCACAAGACACATACATACAAACAGACAGGCACACATGCATACAGACACACACACACACACAGACATGCACACACACACATACAAAGACACACACATAAGACATACATAGACACATACATACATACAGACAGACACAAGACACACATACAAAGATACATACATAACCTTTTCCCAAATCCCTGACCCTCACACACACGAACACACCCTAAATGGGACACACACAGACACCCAGTCACCAGAATCTGAACCGAACTATCTGACAAATATGGTCCATATGATTGAGGCGCACACACAGACCCACACAGAACACACACTAAGACGCTAGCCTTCTCAGCAGGCCAACAACATTAAATACCAGACCGCATGACCATATGTCTACAAGTAACCAGAAATAAGTTGGAGCACACAACTGTGCAACGGTCTAAAATGCGTAACGAAGATATACTCATCAGTTAATAGTTCAATAGTTTTTTAACGCGCTCCCTTTTATTATACTAGCTCATAACAGCATGTTCTTGTTTTTGCCAAGTTTAAACATATTGCTGCAAACTCTATTTGTATTATGAGTACCGTTAAAGGACCACTCTAGGCACCCAGACCACTTCAGCTTAATGAAGTGGTCTGGGTGCCAGGTCCTTCTAGGGTTAACCCATTTTTTTTATAAACATAGCAGTTTCAGAGAAACTGCTATGTTTATGAATGGGTTAAGCCTTCCCCTAATCCTCTAGTGGCTGTCTCATTGACAGCCACTAGAGGCGCTTGCGTGCTTCTCACTGTGATTTTCACAGTGAGAGCACGCAAGCGTCCATAGGAAAGCATTGTAAATGCTTTCCTATGCGACGGGCTGAATGCGCGCGCAGCTCTTGCCGCGCGTGCGCATTCAGCCAGGAGGAGGAACGGAGGAGGAGAGAAGGAGGAGAGCTCTCCGCCCAGCGCTGGAAAAAGGTAAGTTTTTACCCCTTTCCCCCTTCCAGAGCCGGGCGGGAGGGGGTCCCTGAGGGTGGGGGCACCCTCAGGGCACTATAGTGCCAGGAAAACGAGTATGTTTTCCTGGCACTATAGTGGTCCTTTAAGCATACGCAACATAGGTTCGCACACTGTAACTTTTTCACCTTACCAGGCATTGACCGTTTTAACTGATCAATAATATGCTTTGCGGTACATGCCTCTGCCATATGATTATTATGCAAATTAGCTGCTTCACTTAGCCTACACAGGCCATGTTTTACATGATACCGATATATGCTATCCAACACCATAATTCTCTCAACATGTACTAAGCACTTAGGCCGGAGGGCAAAGGTAACCCAAGCTTAACATATGACCGCAAACTTTATTTGATTTTCTAAAGTAAGCTTCAAACATGCAAATCATCCGTATTACTAGTACCATTAATTTTAAGCAGCATAAGTTTACAAACCTTGTTATTATAAGCATTACAGTTATGTGTAAGTAAATTGCCATTAATCAAACCAGACTAAGTTTTTCTGTGCAGTGCACTATGGCGACATTGGTTAAAAGCGACTGATCTAAAGATGCCTATATTTGTAGCCCTTTATGCCTCTGCGCAGGCAACCATACGCACTATGTGTCTATTATCTGATTTATTGTGCCTCTGCGAAGGCAACAGTGCATCAGTTTTTTGCATATGATCTATGTCTGATACCATTTAACATGCAAAATAAAAACAATTTAAAACAAAGATACATACATAAGACACACAAACATACAAAGACATACACACACAACACATACATACAAAGACAAGACACATACATACACACATATATACAGACAGACACACATACACACACACAAGACATACATACATAGACACATACACACACATACAGACACACACACACAAGACATACAAAGACACACACACAAGACATACATACAAAGACACTTACACACAAACAAACACACACATACACACAAAATAGTTTAGTCACCCTCCTGTTTCCTACCTTTTAGGTGCAGGAGGGTGACTTACCCTGGGGCCCAGTGGTGGCTCAGGTGGATGGGAGTTAGAGTTCCTACTCTGACTCCCTGGTCTTCCTCCCGCGCGGTCTGTGTGTTAGCTGGGAGGAGTGACGTCACTTCCTCCCAGTGTGTGAAGTATTAACAGGGGGCCCGGTTGCGCTGTTAAAGCGCCCAGCGCTGACCGGGCCCCCTTACAATCCACATCCATCGGGTGGCCCTAACAGCATGGGCCACACGATGGACCCCATGGACGGCGGCCCCGGGGCTGCAAATGGTGACTGCGACTGGGTTCCGCCGGCTCACACCCGCCCTCCTGCCCACCCAATCTCTGAAATTGAGGAAATCCCTACCGCCCACCTGGAATCCTGAAACACCCACTAGTGGGCGGTAGGGACCAGGTTGACGACCCATGACATAGATAAACACACAAATACAATAAATTGATAGGTGATAATGAATAATGTTGAAAGAATGTGAATGTCTTATAACAAAAACAGCAATGGTCATTAATGCAACTATTACGTGATGAATTGGGTTTAAACCAATTTTTTGACAAAAAAAAAACAGGGTGCGACCATTATGCGGTGGCGACTATTATGCGGTGAAATACGGTACCTCCCAACATTTCAAATGGACAAAGAGGGACCCCTTAATTGT